ATTTAGCAGTTAAGAGTGCTTGCTACTCTTGCAGGGCACCTAGGTTTGATTCCTAGCACCCTCAGAGAGGATCACAGTTGTCTATATGTGACAGACATATGTGTCTATATGTGTTATAGGTGGCTATATATTCTATACTGGTCTCCATGGGCTCTTGCATGAGAGTGGTACATAAACACATAAGCAGGTACACACAAACAGTATCAATGTGAGCATGGTGGCTCACACCTGTAATCCCAGTGTTCAAGAGGAAAGGCAGGAGAATTACAAGGTGAAAGCCAGCCTGTGATACATACTGCTTCCTAGGATATTCTGTAGTACAGAGTGAGGCAAGAAAAGATAAAATGGTGATTTTTCCTCAGGACATTACAAAAAGTCAAAAGTAGGCAATTATTAGCATTAGTGTTGTTTCAGCATCCTTAGCTACAGGTGTGAAACAGAGAAAGCACACTGCAAGTGGTGTGAAACTTTGAAACTTCAAAGCCTACTGCCAGTGACACACCTCCTCAAATAAAGCTACATCTTCTAATCCTTCCCAAATAGTTCCACCAACTGTGAACCAAGTTTTCAAGTATATGAGGGGCATCCTCATTCAAACCACCACACTTTTGTAGTGGTTTGAAAGATGAATGTCCCCCATAGTCTAGAGCATTAAAACACTTGGTACCCATTTAATGGCACTTTGGTTGAGATTTACAAGGTATGGCATTGTTGGAGGAGGTATGTCACTGGGGGAAGCTTTGGGGTTACAAAAGCCTCATGCCATTCTCAGTGTGCTCTCTGCCTTCTGCTTGTGTGCAAGATGTGAACTCTCACCTGTTCCTGTGCCTTTGCTCCACCACCACAGACTCTAACGATCTGAAACCATAAAGCCCAAATTAAATGCTTTATTTTATAATTTGCCTTGGCTGTCTTGTTTTGTTGTAGCAATAGAAAAGAAACTAAGACACAGAGGTTGGCCAATATTTGTCCTGCTTAGTTTTTTATTGTCAACTTGACATAGTTTATAACAATCTGGGAAGAGAAGGTCTCTAATGAGAAATTATACAGATAGGATTAACCTGAGGCTATGTCTATAGGGGCATTACCTTGACTGATGTGGGAAGGCCAGTCCTCTGTGGGTGGAAGCACCTCTGTGAAGAGGTCCTAGATTACATAAGAATCTGGCTGAGCATAAGCCAGATAGAGCAATCCAGTGAGCAATGCCTTCTATGGTTTATGCTCCAGCTCACTAAGTTTCTGTCTGAATTCTGTGAAGGTTGGACTGTGACCAGGAATCATACACTGAAATAAACCCTCTCCACCAAGCTGCTGTTTGTTCTGGTGTTTATCATAACAACAAACAGCAAACTAAGGACTTGTCCCCAGACGTCCCTCTTTGCTCTTGAAATAACTGAGTACTAAGATCCCCATGATTTATTAAGTCAAGAAACAAAGACAACAACAGAGACACAAACAGAAATGCTTACCTTCAAACTCCCCAAACAAGTTGGGAGCAAAGGGGTGCTAGAATCTGGTGTCAACACTGGACTATAACTTCGGGTCCAAAGTCAACAAGGTCGAGGCACTTGCTGTCAGGAGACCTAGTATCTGCCCTACTGGTGTGATTGCAGATAAGAATAAACCTTTAGTTCCTACTTCCTCATCTACCAGAAAGGATAGATCACTGAAATAAGATTTGTCTCAAGAAATGTCACCTATGATGCTATTCTTGGTTGTTAACTTCACACAGCTGGAAAAAGGGAACTTGAATTTAAGAACTGCATTTATCAGATTATCCTGTATACATATTCATGGGTTATTTTCTTGACATAAATTGAAGAAGAAGGGCTTAGTCCACTGTGGGCAGTACCATTCCTAAGCAGGTGGGCCTGGGGTATATAAGAAAAGTAACTGAATACATGTCAAAGAGAGAAAGCCAGTAAACTTGTTACTCCATTGCCTCTCATTCTGTTCTTGTCTCCATGTTCTGACCCTGGCTTCCCTTTATAATGATAATTACCTGGAAGCATAACCCAAATAAACCTTTCTGAACTCAAGTTGCTTTTGGTCATGGTGTTTATCACAGAAAGGAAAGCAGAACAGTATCTTTTGTGAGTGTGTGTGTGTGTGTGTGTGTGTGTGTGTATGTGTGTTTTATGAAACCAATCTGTCATTCTATGGAACACTTTGAAGAACAGAAGAAAAAAACATATTGTAGATTATCCTTCATTTTCGAGACAGGGTTTCTCTGTGACTTTGGAGGCTGTCCTAGAACTAGCTCTTGTAGACCAGGCTGGCCTTGAACTCAGAGACCTGCCTGCCTCTGCCTCCCGAGTGCTGGGATTAAAGGTGTGCACCACCACCACCCAATCATGCCTAGCATTTTTATGTGAGTGTTTGCGTTTGAACTCAGGTCTTTATGCTTGCTGAGCAAGAGCCCTTACCCACTGAGCCATCTCCCTAGTCTTGATAACAACTTATTTCTCTTTTCAAAAGGATATGGGTTGGATATAAACTTAAGTGTTCGACCTCTTAGGGAGCTAGGTAGGTTTTTTAGAAGCTTTGAAGGTCTTTATTGAAGAGGGGTCCCTCCCTCATAATCAATAACTTGTTAAGACAGGAATTGAAACCCCAAGACTTTGATTATTGGTCAAAAGAATAGAATCCATGATATCTTTTTTTTTTTTGGAAAATGTTTATTCTATTAATCCACTGCATTCAGAGGGTGTTAACACTTTAAATGTTTATCATTTCTAAATAATGAGAATAAACAATTTTTATCATAGATGTAGCTAACAGTTGAGTATAAATACTTTTTAATGGATCTAAAGTTCTCCCAAATTTTAGTACAGGTAGTTTTATTGTATGTCTCTTCTAGTAAATGATTAAAAAAAAACAGTATGTAGAACTAATCCTTTAAAACTGAGCAAATATACCACATTACCAACCCACCAAACCAAAAGCGCTTGCCAAGCAGAATAAATTACAAAGAAATGATAATTGCGGATTACAGAAATTATGCAGTGTTTTCAAAGCTCTTAAGAATTAACCAGTAACACAAACCTCTGACACTTAGGAGTTGAAAGATCAGTTTCATAGTAATAGAATTTTAACTTCCATTTACATTCATTTTAAATATATTACTATGATATTTATGTCACAATGGTGTTTTCCAGTGTCCAGTTTTAATTTGTATAAACATAACTCAATAATGTAAGGGCCAGTTCTTATTACTGTAACTATCCCTAAGCAGAAAAATAAATCACCACCCTACATACAACTATAAAAATGGCATGACTTCTAATAGATTGATGCAACATGGTTTTTCATATTTGAGCTGTTTTATAAATATCAGTATGTAAACTTGCCTATTTAACATATGACAACTATAACTTTATTCGCATCCATTTTTCTCACTTTATCTCAAAAATTTCTTGACTTGCTGTTTTTAGTCAGTGAATCCCAAACTGTATTTCTAGGTGGGGAGGGGAAAAGACGGCAAACACTGTAAAAAGAAAAAGAAGCCTCCCCAAATTAATTTTAAATTTTTCTCTTTTATATCATTTTAAAAAGTCAGTTACATTGCTTAATCATTCTTTTTTTTTTTGAGGCAGGGTCTCTCACTAGGTAGTTCTGGATGGACTGAATCTCATGTAAACCAAGTGGGCCTAGAATTTAGATCTACCTGTCTTTGCCTCTGAAGCTGAGATGAAGATGTGTATGACTCCCAATCTAGAAGCACTTTTCTTATTTAACACCAATACAAATGAATTGATGGCAAGCCAGTACCATCCTGGGACCGAAATGCTAATTTCTTTGATAGAAGAATAAAATTTTTCAATAATCCATTATAACGTTTAGGTTAGATAAATGATTTGATTAAGCTGGTCAAAGTAGTGAGAAACCACAATCCAGGAAATCGTTGGTTATTTTGGTTCTGGATGTGAAGAATCAAAGAATAGAGACTAACAAACAAGTAAAAAGAAATTGTCTCCCATTTTAAAGAGGATTTAAAAAAAAGCCACAGACAGTATGAACCTCTGAAATCTATTTGACCTATCCAGTATTCAGGTCTAGAACAGAATTTCTCAATTTCTTTTGAATCATCTCCATCCTTTTCTTGAATATCAGACTGATTGGTACTTACAGATTCACACTCAATCAGAGCTTAATAGCTAGATCAGTACAATACAATATTTTTGTTTTGTTTTGTTTTATTAGTTAAAATTAGGAACAAGCTTGCTTCACATGTCAATGCCTTCTCCCTCTCCCTCCCCGGAACTCTCCCCCTCCTATCCGCTTTGCAATACATTATTAGTAATGTCAAAAAACAAACTAAATTACAAACTACAAAAAGATATACTCAAGTATTACATTCAGTTTTCAAATCATTTACTAACAGCACAACAGATCTGGCTTCAATCACTTTGCACACACACACACCCAGAACAGACACCTCATCTACTGACCTGTTCTGCAACACAAGGCCATTTGTCAGAGATGGCATTTTTCAAGCAAAACTTTTAATAGATTAAAAAAAGGAATTTCTACAGGGCCTTGGTGGCCCACGCCTTTAATCCCAGCACTCGGGAGTTTGAGGAAGGCGGATCTCGGCGAGTTTGAGGCCAGCCTGTTCTCCAGAGCGAGTGCCAGGATCGGCTCCAAAGCTACACAAAGAAACCCTGTCTCAAAAACCAAAAAAAAAAAGTAATTTCTAATTTTTATAGAAATGTTTCTTATTTTTCTCTCACTCCGTCATCTCCTATACTGAAAGATGTATAATATTTTTGTTTCCTCTCCCAAGCTAAATCTGAACACTCAAAATATATTCCAGGCAGAAATGCCTGCAAATTAAAATAAAAAACAAGAATAGAATAATTATATTTACATATATACATATATACATATACATACATATATATATTTATTTATTTATTTATATTTATATATATTTATACTGATTGGAAACATCCAGCATTTGAAAATCACTTAGAGATGAATTTTGGGCTCGTCTTAAAATTCCAAAATCCATCATATTTAAGGACATACTTCCCATCTTTCCTGGCTACTTCCTCCCTTCAAAACAGTTCAATATAGGCTCAAGTTTAGCGGGAAGAGACAAGTTTCTGAGTAGTTTTTGTTATGTTTTGCTTTTGTTTTGGTGATCTGGGTGGCACGAACTGCTCTTTCCCTTAACATTGAGTCACTCCCTGAGGTGTAGCCCTATGGCTAAACTGGCATCTCTGATCCCTGATTTTTCTAGCTGCTCCACGGGGAATGGTATTGCCTCGAAAGACAGAATGATACTTACTAGCCCTTGTTTCAGGTTTCTCTTGTGTTTTTTCAACAGGCTTCTTGGGCGCTCCATTCTTCCTTTCTGGTGGGTGTTGCCACATTAGAAGGCATTTCCCTTAGCGTTTGTACAGGAACTGAAGCTGGTTCTTTAGGAGGCTTCCAACACACTTCAGTGTAAGTTAACTTTCGAGGTTCCTGTAGCACAGCTGTGTGTGTGTTTACCTTACTACTGCAAGGTGAAGCAGTGTGTGGCCTTGATGGCTTTGAAGTAGCTGCAGAAGAAACTGGTACAGTGATCTGGTTGATAACATCCTTTCGAAGTGAGGAATGCTCCCTTTGATTCTCCTCTTGCTGAGTTGTGCTTACTGCAGGAAGCTCGGCTTTACATGAAGGACTGGGATTTAAGCTGAGTTGCTGGGCAGAAGCACAGTCTTTCTGTTCATCCTCTGAATGCACTGGGAAACTAACACTCACTTCTTCAGTATCCTTTTCTTTCTTGACATCTTTAAGGACATCAGACATTCTATTATCCAACACAAGTTCATCTGGCCTTCTTGATGAACATCCAGGAAAAGGAGGAACATTTGTAGCTACTAAGTCAAACTTTGGTG